CTACTTTAACATATAAAAATTCCTTTGGAAACTTCCTTTATCTCTATCCCCCAAGAAATATGTTGGCCATCACCCCCAAGCATATGACTCACCAATATACATCTGAAGTTCTCATGACTAAGGTTTTATCGGACAGTAATAAAGGATAGCTAGCCCCCTCAAGGTCCTGGAAACCTTGCTTCCAAAATTCCTTAGAGACTTAAGCTCTCCCTAACCCCCTCCCAACTTGAAAGTATATAATGGGTCCCTCCTCATGACCCCATGCAGCTCTTTCTGCCCACGGGGCCTGTCCCCGTGTTTTTTTTTTTTTTTTTTTTTTAAAGATTTTATTTATTTATTTGACAGAGAGATAGAGAGCACAAGTAGGCAGAGAAGCAGGCAGAGGGAGAGGGAGAAGCAGGCTCCCCACAGAGCAGGGAGCCCGATGTGGGGCTCGATCCCAGGACCCTGGGATCATGACCTGAGCCGAAGGCAGCCGCTTAACCGACTGAGCCACCCAGGTGCCCCCCCCGTGTTTTAATAAAACCACATTTTCGCACCAAAGATGTCTCAAGAATTCTTTCTTGGCCCTTGGCTTCGACACTAACATCTTTCCTACATCACTAAGATTGGCATGTATATTGCAGACTAACATTATATCAATTAAAATGTGGTTAGAAACTAGAGAAAAGATGATCACCTGCCTTTATTTTTATTTTATTTTTTTGATTACCTGCCTTTATGAGTCATCTCTGGGTATATATATATACACAAAAAAATCCTACGCAATTAAGATATATAAATGGGTTTTTCTCAGAACACACAAAAAAATTAATTCCCAAATGTTTATATTCTCTTGAGTCAGAAATAAAGCACAATATACACTTGAACTGATCTGCTTTTTATTCCTTTCATTGTGACTGGCATTAGGAGAAAAAAAATGGGAGATGAGTCCTGCAAGGAAATCTATAATAATCAGACTCCAAGGTCTCATTTCTATCATTATCTATTGTGAATAATTATCCACATTTTACTTATTTCATCTATTTAAATCTTATCAATTGTGTTAAACTGATTAAAATGGACTAATTAATTATGTTTTAGAAATTTGGGGGGTATCATAGGATTAAGATATTTAATAAAACACATTTTTGTGATTAAAGTCTCAGAAGAATCCCTTAAGTGTTAAGTCCTATTTCCTGAACCCCTTGTAATATACAGTTCATTCTGAAGCAGGAGTAAATCACTGAAGTGAACATTTTCTTCATAATGTCACTACAAAATAGCATAAAAAGTATTCTAACTACATGCCATGAAATTAAAACAACAGACCATGACTGGTAGGAAATTATGGGTTTATCTTAGTTTCGTGAAGATTTAAAAAAAAGTAACATTTATGGAGAAAGTAATGAATATTAAATCTTTCATACACCTACAATGATTAAAGAACTCTTTTCATGCTAGCAACTCTGCAACATGGTGAGATTTTTGACCTGTTTGAACAAAGAGACTCAGATGTTAATTAGTGTCAGGTCGTACAGAATGGGGAGTTTGAAAAGCAAATAAAATAAAATAAAAAAAAAATAGAAAGAAAAGCAGATGGAAGGGAATCAGGTGGAAGTTACTCAGATAGTTTAAGATGTCCTGACACTGGAAACAGGACATGGATCTGGTACTCCAAGACTGATACTCAAGTGTGATCCACAGACCAGCAGTGGGGGTATTTCCTTAGAGCGAAGTCTCAGCTCCAATACAATCTTATTAAATTAAAATCTTTTTAAAGAAGATCCTCAGGTGACTCGTGCATATATAAGTTTTGGAAACACTACCACTATGGGGAATTATTTTGGAAACTTAAGGCTAATAAGATACCCCGTGACTGGAAGGAAACAACATAGTTCTATGTATTTTTATATAGCAATCACAATAAATCTTCTTCAGAATGGGTGTTCCTTAAAGAGTGAGGGTTGTATTTTGTTTTTTGTTTTTTTTTTCTTTTGCATCCTCAGCATCTAGTATACTGCCTAGCTCATAGATGGAGAGTGAGAATGGATGAGTAAATTATGTTAAAGTAAAAATGGAGCAGTCGTCAGTGATGCTACACTATTTGTTAGAAACATTAAGATTGTTGGCTTAATGGGCAAGTACAAGGACATTTAATAGGGACCCATGAAAAGCAGGGTTAAGTGAAAATAGGAAAAAAAGTTTCGCTCAAACACATAATGGAAAAAAAAGACTGTCATGTGCTTAAATTAGGAAGAAAGCACACAAAGTTACTGGGCATCATATGCATAACTTGATAATTTGGTAACTTTAAAGGGCAAATGTGATATTGGAATGAAAAAATATTTTCATTATGGTAAGCCCTATTATTGGCCCATTATCCTGGTCAAATTTTGCTAGAATTCTGTGCTCTTTGAGCAAGGAAGAATCTAGAATGTAAAGTAGATTTAAGATAAAAATCAGTTGAGAAAATTAAGAGACTAAGAGGATATCCCAGAGAATACTCAGTTATTTTAAAACATTTGTTCAGCATAAAGCCGGCAGTGCAATTCTGACAACCCAAATTCGGTCCAGTTTCGCAGGCAGAGTCTCCGAGAGACTGCCCCCTCACTTTCAACACCGGCTGCAAGCTCTGAGGATCCCAGGCCACTTGTACTCGTTACCAATGGGGTACAAATTGGGCAGTCCCCACTACCCCAAGTTCAGGTTCTAGGGTGCCAGAAGAATTCACAGAACTCAGGGAAGTGCTGTACTTCCCCCTCCTTTTGTTATAAAGTTTCGGAATCAGGACCAGACATGGGAAGAACCCCATGGGGCAGGGTCTGGGTGGGTTACTAACACTAAGCTTCCACATCCTCAGGACACATCACCCTCCAGGCACATCAGTGTGCATCTCCAACCCAAGAAGCTCTCCTGAGCCTTCCTGTGTCGTTTTTACTAACCCTCACTACAGAGCCATGATTGCTGAATCACTGACTACACAAATCCCTGTTTCTTCTCTGGAGGTTGGACTGATATCCTGAGGCTCAAAACCCCAACTCCATAGTTGGTCACAGGGTTAGTCATTCCCGCATGGCCAGCCCCTACCTTTGGCACAATCTAGGACCCACCATGAATATCAAAGACATGCCCATCACTTGCGAAAGCTCCTTCTCAGGAACCAAGGGAAAAGGCCAGCTAAATTCTTTATTATACAAGTTAGCCTTCCTGAGGATTCTGGCTAGGCTGGCTTACTTCCAGGTCAAATCTAATACAGTGATCCACTGGAGACGGTCAGGTTCTTCTGCTGTTATTTTGTTGTTGCACTAATTATACCAAAAAAAAAGGGACAGAAGACAGAATTCAGAACATATATCATCCAGTGTAGTTTTTGGCCTAATGGTATTCTTTGATCTCTAGTCTTGTATGACAGATATTATACTGAGTGCATACTATGTGATAGGCACCTAATATGAACACCGCTGAAGAAACAATTTATATCTACATACGGCTTAAACAAATACATGTATCTGCATTTCACCAATGTTCCAATCAAGTGATCCTTGCCTATTCATTAAAGTATGTCTCACAAACACTTTACAAAAAATATTTCATCATTTATTATGTTACTTTGGGTTACTTCTGTGCTCATAGTAGGGTATGGTAGACAGAAAATACACTTTGGGGTATGATGGAACTGGGTTTGAAATCCAGTTGATCATGAGCTAGTAAGTATTTACTCTGGTCCTCAACCTCTGTATCTGCAAAACCGTGAACATAATCACATCAACTTAGAGAGGCAAAAGAGTTGGTTAAGAGCCTGACTCTGGGACTAGGCTGCTTGACAGACAGCTCTGGTTCTTTCTAGCCATGTAAGGTTAGCCATGTCACCTAACCTCACTGGCCACAGCTTCCTCATCTGTAAAATGAGGACAATCCTTGCCCTCATAGAGATGTTGTGAGGATTAAATAAATTATTAAATATTTCACTTATAATAGTGCCTGGCACCTGATAAGCACTTAAATTTTAGTGATTTTTAGTGATTACTATTTTTAATTCCCTTATTAATTTTATTACTTATATTTCTCGTTGCAATCACGATAGTATTTATGAATGCTATTATAAAACGTGACACAAAGCACACAATCAAATGTTGATTTCCTTTACTATAGAAATTACTGGGTTTCACACTATTCATTAAGAAGAGTACTCCATGGACACAAATAAGTGAGATGAGGTTTGCCCTCATTTGATGGCAGGTTAAAAAAAAAAAAGGAAATGGGAGTATAAAGGGTTACGTGGGCAAACCAATTTTTGAGCAATGCAAAACTGTTTAAAAGTGGGGGGTGGGAGGAAGAAATCTTAATAGGCAAAGGCAAAAAATTAGAAAAGTGTGGGCATAAAAGGATGCCTTGAAAAGTTAAAATTACAATCTTTTGTCAAGAACTTGGGAAAATTGTTTTCAAAGCACAAATCCTTGCCGTCTTAAGAGTTTAAGAAGGCATAATGAAGTACCAGCTAAGATCCCTTTCATTTTAAAATACGAAAACTTAAAAATGATCACCACTTGGGGAAAAATACCCCCACAGTATTTTAATACATGACAAATGAAAATCAGTCAGAATTCCTTATGCTAGACCCTTAAATTATTATAGGCTCTGTTGTACCCACATATGCACCTACTAATTAAGGTCACCATCAGAAAACAATGGAATTTTAAGAATGAGATTAAATATTCCAAGTATATTATACTCGCAAAATATAAGTGATATCACCAACGCAGAAACTAAGCTGTTTTAACTAGCATTACTTATACTGAAAATGCAGATAGAATTTTTTTAATACACTGGAAGCAATTCCAAAACTCACGACTAAAAACGTTAAGGGCTAAAAGTTTTGAGTTTCGACTCAAAACTGTGCAAACAACATACTGTATAAATCCACTGTGTTTCTTACATTTACCCTATTTAATCTTCAAGCTGTCAAATTAAATTTCAGTTTTATGAGAAAAACTATGATAATTTTATTAATTTAAGACATGAATTATTTTCTCTTTATTTAAAAAATCCAAATCATTAAATCTTGTAGCACTTCTTTGATGGATAGTAGCAAGTTTTTCTTGTGATACATACTTATAGGACGCAGGGTGATGACTCCTTCTGTTATACTGTCTATAGTCCACAGAAAACTTAAGGTGTGTTTTCTCTAAAGAATACTTTTAAATGATCAGAGAAAAGCCCAAGGTTTGAAGTTTATGTAAAGCCTTACTGTAACCTTCACTTCCCTCTTCGTAACAAAATTCTAACAACGCATTTATTAAAAAAATCACAGAATAATTTTTATTTATAATGAAGTTATTCTTTCTAGACTTTAAATCATATGTTCACTCTTATAACAGAGAATCATTTAAATAACACCACCAAAATGAATGAAGACCAATCGATTGATATTATTATATCAATTTCTTTGAAAAATCGTAATGATATCCAATTAGTTTTGCAACATGGTCCATTTTCCAGTGAAATTCTCAACAGACTGCTAAGAATTAGTCCTTTACTGACAGTGTATTCTAAGGTGTGGCAGATGTGGCTCTCTTAATTGCTTCAGAAGTCAAACAGTTAAACAAGTGATCTGCGGAAGAGGCTGACTTCATAGGTGACCCATCCACAAATGGATAGCATGCCTTTCAGATCCTTTGGTTTTTATAGTAATCCCTTTGGAAAATTAATTATTTGATGATTGTTCCCTTAGAATTCTATTTTAAGCAGGATGAATCACTGCCTATACAGTTTGTGCCAACGTCGTTGACTTTCTCATTTCCACTGTTTTGTTTATCAGATCATATAGTGATGGTAGTCTTATTTTATCCATATTTTTGCTGTAAACATTGAGAAATATACCAAGGACAACTAACAAACCAGACCACACGTACCTAAGAAGAGAAAGAAGGAAAAAAATATTAATATCAAGGTAACAATTTATTGTTAACCACAGAACTTGGTGATAAGTTCACAATAATTCTGCAATAAAATTTTGCTATTGGAGGCCTACAATAGCATTAAAATAAAAAATAGTATTTTTAGATCAATTTAGATAGAATTCCATCTCATTTGTATTAAGTATATTCAGAGAGACTTTATAAAATACTAAATGTAGTTCATTTGAAGATAACAGCAAATTCAAGTCCACGTCCTAATCAACAGTCTAAGAATGTACTTAAAGCACGGAGTACATTCTGCCAATGGCCATCCTGGGAATTCAGTTTGGCAGTCCGACGTTTATCCCAGTTGGGTAGCACATAATGAGATAAAAAGAAGCACAGCCTGAGAAAACTGGGGAACTGGCATAGATTGCTGTAATATATACCTAGCATATGGGGAAAGAGAAACTAATTTATAGAAAACAAGACACCGACTGAAATCTATCTTGTGGTTATCTTTAAGCTTACACATTGATAATTTCTAAGTTTGAATCTTCTCAATCACTAAGTAGCATAAATTTAAATGATAATGATTTCAAATGCATACTAGATGGTCGAGAAAACAGTAAATGCTTTACAAGAAGCCATAAACTAAATAAACTTAACAGCATTAATTTTCTACCTCAAATCCTTTGTGGGAGAGGGGGACAAATAACAACTTTAAAAACCATATATATGGTTTCATATGTATGTGTGTATATATCAAGGCAAGGTGGAATCCCTTAATCTCAAGACATCACTCATGTTCATTTATATTGGAAATGGGATCAAAATTGCATTGGGACTCTGGTTAGGCAATTTAAGTGTACAATATGATTTCTTCAAAATAAATAGCAGAAGACATATCAATAAACTAGGGCTCCAAATGAAACTGATTTTTTATAAATAAATTAAGGCTGCTTAGGAGGAAATGTGAAACCAGGCATGTACAAGTAGAGAAACCTGTTGAATTAAAAAGTACTTACTGAAACGTGAATGGTTTAGCAAAGAACATAAATGAAAGTACGATGGTCATGGCTTTTCTTCCTGTTGTCACTGTAGGGAGAAAAAAGGTTGGTTTATAATCTACCTACAATCTTGGTAATATTTTGGAGATCATTTTCAACAAATATTTACAGAGCCTACTATGTGCCAAGATCTACGTGACATGCCAAGAAAACGATGGAAAGCAAAAACCAAACAGAAAGTCACTGTTGCCACTGCTATGGCGTTTACAGTCTAGGAGGGGTACAGACATTAAACCATATAGTTAAATGTTAAAGTATAACTGTAATAAGTACTTGATAAAGGCCATGACACTAGGGAGGCAGGTCATCCCTTAGAAACACTCAGTCTAGCAGGAAAAATAGGCTTTCCCAAGGAAGGTAGGATTAGGTAGAGCAGGGGTTAGTCTTTAAAAGAAGTAAGCTAAAGCACACACTAATATCCTATTGTGGTCATCTCTGAGTAAGACAATGAATAATCTTTACAGTCTTCTTTACATGTCTGTATTAACTTTTACCTGTCTTTCAAGTACGACCTTGGTCTGTTGTCAGGTTTGAAACCCTCCTCCCTGTCCCACCCACGTAGGGGTAGGACCTTGGCATATGTCTCCATCATAGCCTTCCGTCCAACTTTGCATTTTCAGTTGCTGTCCTCCTCTAGATGGTGAGCTTTACTTAGTTTCTTGTCTTATTCATCCTATATCCCCAGACTCGACAGCTCCTGGCACTTACTATCCAAGGTATATATAAATGAGCTCCAAATGAAGACTCTGTTTTGGAAATGTGTCAGAGCCTGATTCCCCAAATCTATTTTTCCTTCTGTGTTAGTAAACAGACCCGTTTTAACCCCTACTTCCATCTATGTTAGTAAACGGACCCCTATTATGGGCATACCCTCCAGCTTTTCCTACGGTTAGGTGTTGTCATGTGATGAGGTTTGGGCCAAAGAAAAGTGAGCAGAAGCGCTGTTTCTAGGAAGTGTACTTTCTAGGAAGATTCCATAAAGAGAAAGATGTGTCCTTCATCTTCTCCCATCCCACTGCCTGGAATGAGGAAGAAGATGGCAGAGAAGACAAAAGGAGCCTGGTTTCCTAATGAGTGTGATGCCACCACAACAGCTCAGGAGGCAGTGTAACATGTGGGCTAAGAGCACAGGTCGGGACCCAGACTGCCTCACTTGGAATCCTGATTCTGCAACTTACTAGCTGGTTGACCACGGGGCAAGTCACTTCACCTCCCTGTGCCTTAGTTTACCCTTTGTAAAATGGAACAATAACAGTGCTTACTTTTTTATGGGATTATTGCAAGGTCAAAATGAATAATGTATGTAAAATGGCTCCTGGTACATAATAACGGATATGCATGCTGGCTACTATTACTGCTGAATTTCTTTTACACGAGACAGAAATAAACCTGTCTGCACCTTTAAGACAAGGACAGCATCTCACATTTTTTATACCAACCACAGGGTTTAATCAATACATATTGATTAATATCAAACCCTTTTTGAACAGTTATTATCTTCCGAGCAAAACTGGAACCTGAGCAAATATATGAATTTGCAATCTTTCTTGGTAGCGTGAGATGACTTGACAGATTACGGCTATGGCCTGATCTACAATTACATGCCCTCTGTTTACCATTAGCAATGTAAACTTGAAAAAGGGAAGTTATAAAATAAGTAAAAAGGGGAGTCCTATGTGAGCAAATAAAGAGAAATGTTACGAAGCAAATAAACTTTTACAAAGAGAGAGATATTTATTCCTTTGCTTAATTGATTCTAGTATTAGAGTGAGTATTCCCCTAAAACTATGAAATATTAAAATCAGGTAAATGACTAATGCATGTTTGCATTATGATGTAAATCCTATGTATCTCTGATAGAAATGGTCAAGTCCAACCCAGTCTCTTCACAAGAGAGAAACGAAGCCCAGGGAGGAGGAGAGAGTTACTCTCCAGGTGATGTGTCATTAGACATCAGAGCTGTGACTGGGCTCTCCTTCTCCGACATCTCAATCCAGCACCCTTCATGACAATGCCACACTGTTTCCAATCCTGGGCTTCACTCAGGGCTCTCTCCATACAGGAGAGGCTCAGAGCATTTGTCATCTGGACCATTCACTGGGCAAATGATACAAGGTTAGCACATGAAGTCATCTGTCCTCCTCACTGGGTCTCACTTGTTGCCCCTCATCTGTTTTCCTGACTCCCTCAAAGCAAAACCAATACAACTTCCATTCCTCTAAAGTGCCAAGCAAAGTTCCTGCATAAAGCAGATACATGATAATTATTAGGGACAAGAAAGGATAATCTGGTTAATACCCTAGAAAGTGTACAAATGAAAGCTCCAAAAAGCTTTGTTTAAAATATACCTGCCATACTTTAAGTGCATCAAAATGGGAGTTTTCGGTTATAAATTAAAAGTGCATATAAAAGCTGGATTTTTCTCTAAGGGTATTCAGCGTGTCATACTTTCTAATAAAAAGTCCTTTTAATGTATTTAAAAGTTACTATTTAGATAAATGTATATATTTGATTTTAAAATAAACCCTTCAAATAAAAAATTATGAGCAAACATCATTTTCTTTAGAATTTTAAAGAAATACCGTAAGCCAAAAAATAAATTGATGAACTACAACAATTTTCTTTTTAATACAGAGTAGATGCTGCCTGTATCTTTTGAAAAGCAGCATCAGAGAAAATTTAAATGCTTACTTCATAATCTAAGCAGGTGTATCATTCCTACCTGTTACAGCAAGAAGTGCACCGAAAATTTTAATCAGAGCCAGAACAAAGGAGATTCCAAAATACCCAGTGAGGGAAAAAAGGAAAGCATAACCGTAAGTCTGGATTGGATTCTGCAACATATAAAAAAGCCTGTTAGGAAAATGCAAAACAAACCCTGAGGTATTACAAATGAAATAAAACTACAGATTTTAATCAACTTCCTGAGCAATAATAAGCCATTCAACAACGCAGTCAAGCAAAGATTCTTATTTAGTTCTGATTTAATGGAAAAACAATGACGAAATTAAAAATCCCCAACTTTCACATTATGAATTGCTTAAAAATTAACTTATAGGATAGAGCAAGGATACAATAAATTTAAATATAAATCATTTCATTTCTGAAATAATTTCTGATCTGCATATATTATACTAAAGGAGTTATCAAATTACATAAAAAAACAATCTTTTTGAACAAGAAATACAGAGGGAACTATTTAATGGAAGATGTTTATTTTTAAAAATGTGATTAGTGTTTACCTTTGAACAAAATGTTACTGCAGGGCCTAATCCACTAGTGCATGTCAATCCCAATAAAATGTACACAAAACCGATTGAATACGAATATAAAACCTATGGTAGATAAAAATAAAGTGGAAAAAAATGCTATCAAACCAAAAGCAGAAAATGAAGGATTTTCAATATATGGCTCAATTAATCTACTCAATTAAATCTGAAGAACCACCATTTTTAAGTGACATCATTGTTTCAATATGGCCTAGCTTTCTGGAGATGATGATTGATCCTCTTTATAAGTTTATGGCTTATTTTACGGACATCGTAACATAGCAGTACTGATTCTTCCATGTATACAGTTACATAATATTCATTTTTTTGCCTGGCTTGATTACTGATTCAAACCACATTTGAATTTTGGGGTTCCAAAAACACACATAAACAAAACAAAAAAAACCCTTTAAAGCTACTTATTCAACATCAGAAAACCCAAATGTTAGGTTTGTAAATATATTAACAGATAATGAAAATAAACAGGGGCATATCTATTGCTTGATTTCCCAGTTTTCCTACCAATCTTTCTATCCCAGTTCCTTATAAGCACAATCAGCAGGGGCATCATCACACTTGTGCACCTGTGATATGTTGGCTACTAATAATGCTAATCATGTGCTAATAATGCTCTACATGAATTATTCCACTTCTCACAACCAGCCTATGAGTTAGACACTCTTAATGATCACTCCTCAATCTGCACATAAAGAAACTAAAACTTAGAGATAGTAAGTCATTTTGCCCCAATAAGAGAACTCGTAAAGCTAGGATATAAAAGAGATCTTAGCCCAGAGTCTGTCTAAGCTCTTAACCACTGTATTATAGTAATTTTCTAGCTACTTAAATTTCCTTAATTCTCTGCTCTTTACCTTATCTAGGAAGAGTGGTGATGATGATCAAGAAAACTTCTGACCAAGATTAAAGACTCCTTAAAGATGCCCACTCTGCCGACAAAGTAACAGGAAAGACCATTCCTGTATACCCTTAATGTGGTATGCTCTCTTTGTCTAGCAAGGGGTTAGCTATGAAATTAATGTAAACATACACACGGTAACTTTCCTATATACAAATACCAACCAGGGAGAAGATATAAGGAAAGAAAGGACATTATTTGCAGTAACAACAGCAAAAAGATGAAACCCCTAATAACTTCAATAAGAAACATGTTGGATTTATATGAAAAAAACTTAAAAAAATCTAAGGGACATTTAAAAAAAGCCACTTGAATAAAAGGAAAATCATGGCCTTGGACTGAAAGACTCAAGTATATAGATGCCATTCTCTCTAAATTAACTTATAATTCAATTCCATACCAATCACAATTAACAATGGAATTTCCTAGTTTATTTGGAGATATGAACATCCAAGAATAACTAATGGTAGTAATATTCTGAAAAACAAAAGGAATATTGCTGGCTAGTTCTAACAGATGGTAAATGTATGATAAAGCTGCTGTCATCATATGGTTTTGGTGCAGAAGTAAATTCAAAAGAACACAATTCTGAATCCTACATTAGAATATTATATGATAAAGAAGGCACTTAAGCTGGAAAAGTGGATTTTTCAACAAATGATACTGGGACAAGTGGAGAGATGAAGAAGAAATTTTTTTAAAGTTTTGGTTGGATCAAAGATTTAATTAGGGTTGTCTGGGTGGCTCAGTCGATTAAATGTCTGCCTCTTGATTTTGGCTCAGGTCATGATGTCAGGACTGTGAGACTGAGCCCCACGTCGGGCTCTGTGCTGGGAGTGGAGCCTGCTTAAAATTCTCTCTCCCTCTCTCCCTTTGCCACCCTCCATCTTGCTCTTAAAAAAAAAAAAAAGATTTAATTAAAAAGGCAATCATAAAACGAGTAGGCAGCATGGGTAAAATTCTTAAAAGTTGGGAAAGTCCTTTTCAATCATAATAGGTAGCCAGAACCCATGAAGGAAAAGATAAACCACATCAAAATTACAAACTTCTAAATGGAAAATAATACCAAATACAAAGGGGGAGAAAAGGGATGTAACACAGGATCTTTTTAATATGTAAAAAAACCCTATAAATAAGGAAAAAATTTATCAAATATTATACAATAAGCTCTTAACAGGGGTCATGGTATCTTTTTTAGTTTCCATAATGTTTGAATGTATTACTTTTACGAAAGTGATGACGACAAACTAGTTTAAAAATGCCATGCAAGTCTTTAATATCGTAACTATTTCATAAAGTTAAGCACATCACCACTTTTGAGTCTGTCTGCTGTGAAGAAGCAGCACTGGAGTCCTTACCATTTCTGAATTAGAAGCATTATGCAGTTTCATAGCTTTCTCTTGAACATTTCCAATGACAGCATCTGCACACAGTGCCAGGGAAATAAGGATCACACCTTCAAGAAAGCATAAGAGAAACACAACCTCCTTATTTAAATAGGTGAACGATAATCAAGATTTATCAGAGATTTAATTGGGTTAAAAAACAAAAGCAGATCTTAAATCACACTGTTTCAATAAAAATTGATGATTTTTATCAACTACCAGCTGTAATAGGCACATATGTGATAACGTTAAAAACACAAGTAACTGACACTAATAAACTACATTCAAGCTTATTGTGTTTCCCTATTAGATCAAATAATAGTTCTGCTTTTAAATTAGATGAAATGTTAGAAAGGAACACTGTATTAAGCAAATACAGAAGAAATTCTTAGGAGCTCTGTCAGGACTGGTGGTTAGTCGGTTAATTGAAAAAAACAGACGAGGAGAGAAATCATAAAAGATGTTACCTACATTATTAAAACATTTCATTTAAAACACATAAACATGCATGCAACTGCCAAGGTATTTTCTCTGAGTATGTGTCCTAACTAAAATTCTGCACCTTCTCTTCTATATAAACCATACTCGTAACACACATTGTTAATGCTTTCCCAGTTGTTTTGTTAAAAAGCACATGGGAAACGCAGGAACTTCTCAAATAGTTGGGGTGCAGAACCCTTTCACAGTTGTATGATATCCTGCTCTTTTTACAGTTGTTTCCTGCATACTTAATTCAATGGTGATTTTATTGACTAGTCAACCAAACTGTTTCAATTAACTTAACAGAAACAATTCTGTCTCTCTTCAAATTATTTTTGAACAATTTAAGTAATATTATTACATGGTTATAGTAACAGGTACAATTGGCATAAACAAACCTGGAAATCAACACTCATGCAAATGAGCATATCTACCTGAGAAGCAGGCTGTTAACTGCAAGTGTTTGGGACACTGGTCACTAGCCATGATGCTTTACAGAAAGAACAAAAGGCAGCCTTGGTTAGTCTGTGAGTCTGCTGGGATTTAAGGAAGTTTCCCTTTTGCATTATTTTTTAACAATGTATTAGCAATCGCAGGGAGCAGAAAAATATATGTACATGTGTGCGCACTTGAGAACTTTCAAGTTTTCATGCTTATTCTTCAATTTGCCTTCTGATCATCTAACTTTGTGGTATTTATGACCTAATCATACATTTTTATCCACCAAACTTGATTCTGAATGCTCTTTTACTTATTTCAAATACCAAATCTGTCCTTAAAACAAAAGACAAGCTGCTGTTGAAGACCCTGAATACAATATCCTAGCTCCTAACAGGCTATTCGAAGACATTCCAAAAATGTTCTGAACAATGGCAACGGCATGAAAATACCTGAATTGCACGCTGAGGGGAATATTTAAAGGCAGACATTTATTTGAATAAGTAAATTCTGATGTATTCGCTTTATATGTTCAAAGTTTTATTTATGTCTACGTTAAGTAACTATCTTAATAGTGAATCTAATCTTTAGATAATAAACTGTTACAGATCAGGGACTGTGATAACTGCTCATCAGTTTTCTTAACGATGAAGTATTATTAGGTTCTAGTTCTCTTACCAAATATTTCCATGGGAGTCAGAATAGGTTGACACTACATCAGCACGAGAAGTTGCAGGGCTACTGACACCACCTCAGTCCATCATTATCGCCCCCCGGCCCCAGCACTCACATGCGCTTTCATATCCATTATTCCATCACCTCAGTCAACCCTCCCACTGCCCTTGTATGAGGCGAGCTATCATCATTATCTGTTTTAAAAGGGAAGCATAAAGGGGTCTGACAATTTATCCATGGTTATAATTTTAAGTGATCTGAACAGAACTGGAAGCCATCTCTTTGACTGCCAATTCTGTGCCTTCTCTACAACTGCTTTTTCATAAGTAAAAGAGTCAATTATCTCAGTTTTCATATATAGTTTTCCTTTTAGTGTTGCTGACATGAAGTGTTCCTGAAAAATCTAAGCCATGTTAGACACATCTATAACTATAAGCTTTCTCAGAGTAAAACTCATTGAAGTAATGATCACTTGTACTCTGAACAATCAAAATTGAAAGAGATATAATAGGTTCCACCAGAATCTTTTGGTTGTTAAAAGGGTTGCTCCAAGAGGCTGTACTGGTTACATTTAAATCCATTAACTTAGCCTGTTTAACAAAGTTAGTAAAGAAGGTTGACTCATTGCCAGTAAGAAAAATTTTGATTCTTAGAACAAAGCTGATATAAATGATTTTCTTCTTTATGCAACACTTTTTTTCTCATGAATAATTAAATTTTTTTCCCATTTTTCAGAGTTCCTCTGAACACCTTTTTATTTATTTTCCCCCGCTGAGGATTTACTGGTATAAATGCAACCATATAAAAGCATAAGTTATGAAAAACAGTCATGGTGCGACCTCCCCAGCCCAGACCCTTAAAACCCCCTCTGAGAGAGGAAAGGGAGGAAGGGAGAGCCCCAAAACTGCCTAAGAATGCTACAGCCCCTGGAACCATGCAGGGCTGGTCTGGCTGGGGTGGGAGAAATCGGGTGCCAATAGTAGTCAGTGGAAAGCTCACACAGCTGGCCCGTGGAGTCCAGGTCAATGGTGAAGTCCAGGTCACGATTACTCTTGGCACTGGGCCGCATGCCAATGGTGCCAAAGATCTCCTCACCAGTCTTCACTGTCAGGTAGTCTTCCACATAGAACACTACCTGCTTGCAGCGTACATATGGGGACTCGGGGCTGGTGAAGCCCAACCTCTTGCAGCGGCGAGGGAACTCGATGTTGACGTAAGCCACAGGGCATTCCACTTCACTTGCAGGCAGAAGGGAGAGGTGAAAGTCAGGTCTTCTATCTTGACAGTGTAGATGTCCACCTCTTTTTGAGGCCTTGGTGACCAGCTGCGTGGGGTCCACCACATCTACCAGGGGCTCCTTGATGGCCACATCTTTGATGCAAGACATGTCAGAGCCATATACATTCTCCCACCAGTGGCTCTTGTCTTTGTACTGCTGGTCTTCAATGGCTGTCACGTGTAGCGTGGCTCAATCTGGGAAGATTAGGCCATCAGGTGCCAGCCACTTGTCTGGGGCATAGAGCACCACATTGAGCACTGATCCATAGAAGAGGCAATGGCCCATCCACACTGATAACAACGTCCACCTTCTCCACCGAAGCGCTATTTCCTCCACCTTCCCCTTGATGACGGTCACCATGTGGTCTAACTTGTTGGCTTTGACAATCTTCACCACATAATCAGAGATACTGGAACACTTGATCCCAATGACCTTGTGGGCTCCAGCCTTGGGAGCAAGCTTAGAGGATCCCTGTGCCTGAGCCTACATCCAGCACCACTTTGTCCTTAAAGAGGTACCAGTTGTGAAACAAGAGTTTTGGTACATGAGGGTGTGTCCCTCATCTTTCAATATCTCTTCCTGAATGCCGAAGTGAGCACAGGAATCAAAGTTGTAATCTCTGGACGTCATGTCCTCAGCATTGGGCTCCTCGCTGCTTTCTGCCTGGCTACAGGAGACCTCCATGATGCAGTCTGCGGCCTTGGGTGCCACCATCTTCATCTGTACCTACCCCTCCTCTTGCCACAAAGAGGTCCCTCCCAATACCTAAGTATTTTATTTTTTAATTTTTTATTATTATTGTTTTTAATACCTAAGTATTTTAAATACTGTTTCTGTCAGGCTAGGAGATGGGATGATAATAAGCTTATGAATAAAACTCAGTAGTATAAGAATGGTAATACTGTATATATAATAAGTTTTCTTCAAGGTCTTTAGAATAAAAACAATATTCTAACACCTTTATGCTATTTAGTTCTAAATATACTATAATACCTATTCTGCCTGTGAAAAATCTTAATTTTATAAAATTCCACCTGGCACACTATGAAGTAACTTCATGGTGGAAAGTTCAAGCACTTTAAGGTTCTAACCATACTTAGAGCACACAGTTCAATATTAACATACAGCGTAACTTTCCCTCTTTAGCTAAAACAATGACAAGTAAATGTACAATTTCAATTTAAAAAAAAGAATAAAAACAGTTACTAATGTGATTCTTCTATAACTCATGTGTAAACTTCCAACTCAGCCCATGAGAAATTGCTATATCATGTACTCGATCACAGAAGATTTTGACTGGCCAAACAGCCCCGTTAGGTCAAAATACAAGAGCACTAAAAAATAACTGTTACATTTCCAGGACTGTAATATTTTTACTATATCTTACATGGAAAGTCTGAAAGCTTTATGTTAGATATGAAAATCACAGATGTCACACCATCATTTGAAATCCTTATGAAATTGTAAAAGTTCTTACTCTTAAACCAAAATGCCTGCAAAATCCAGGAGTACAAATAATTTCCTTACCTGTCAGGTTGAAATTTGGTGCAATCGTGCTGTCAGCTAGGGTGAACCATATCAGACCAAGGCTCATACATACTGCAGCTGACACATCTGCAATGTTATAACGCTTCCCTGTGTAAAATAAATGTAAGCCAACCTCATTATGCAAATGCCCACTTGGCACCGTTTTAGATCTATGTGTCTAACCAAGTAGAGCAGGATCTGCTTTTTATATCCAAAGTCAAAAATATATGAAGAATGTTTAGATCAATGCCTGAGATAGTCACAGAAGGACTTCTGAGAATTAAATGACCATGAGCACCAACATGTCCTCATAAGTCAGATATGAGATCCTACTTTATATGTTATGGTAGTGAGTAAATATGAACATTTAAAGTTTGTGGACACGAGTGCCTCCTTTACTTCATATATAATAGAAGGTATGAATTTTCTTATAGCTTATACATTTAAAAGTAACCAGAGCAATTATTCAGGTTATATTAACTGTTTAAGTTTACAACTACCATAATCAGATAACTTCTAGGTTGGTGAGAATTAACCTGTTATAGTATACCCACATTATTTAAATTTTATTTAAAAATTATGTAGTGTAACTTTTTCATAAGGATCACTAAGGAAATATTATACATGCATGTGGTTTTTAATAAGGATTGGTGTCAATGCTTTTTCCTGCATGAACAGCTACCACTGATATTATATGTGATATAGCCAACAGACACTTTCATTACAGAGGGCCTCTGTGGGAAGGCATCCAATGTAAGAAAATGAAGTTAGGCTGTTTAAGAACTTTAGTGATACAGGGGCCCTTGATTATCAAAACAAATATTTCTCATGACAGTGACATGAACAACAAAAACTTGTTCTACTTGCTATTAGTTTCCTCTTTACTCCTACTTCCACATAGCTTGTAACTTAGTTGGGGCTCTAGGAAGCCAATAAGCCAGCAGAGTTGGTAAAAAAGCAGTTCTGCTCAGGTTAAGCTTACTTCGTTGAGAGAATTGTCCATTTGTATAATGGAGGTAGAGGGAGGAGCCCTGAGGAGCAGAAGAATGAAAGAATTGAAAAAGGGAGTTTCCAGGTATTTCTGAGCTATGCCTTCAATACTTGAATGCAGTATTTCCGGAAACGTGGTAGATTCCAGATTAAAAGAAAAAAATAATAAAACAAAATACTATTTTTATTTTTCTTGAGTCCGAATTACTGATTTCGAATACTAGGGGATATCACAGAAGTATCAGTGTTTTTATAATGCCTTATTTTTTTTTAAAGATTTTATTTATTTTTTGACAGAGAGACAGCGAGAGGGAACACAAGCAGGGGGAGTGGGAGAGGGAGAAGCAGGCTTCCCACGGAGCAGGGAACCCCATGCGGGGCTCGATCCCAGGACCCTGGGACCACGACCCAAGCTGAAGGCAGATGCCTAACGACTGAGCCACCCAGGCGCCCCTATAATATCTTATTTTTATAAGATGTCACTCAGAATTGTTCCAATATTGAGAATGTTCATTGAAAATATTAATTGGAGTTTAATGTTTTTCCTAATGCTAGATGCCATAACATATCCTATTAGTTTCAAACAGTATGAAAATATATCATTACTATACCTTGAATAAAAACTCCTCCTAGCATAACAGGAATCAATTTGCAGCACTTGAAGATGACTTGGGTAGGATAATTCAGGTAGCCCAAGGAAGTATTTGATAACCCCATAGTACCCACAGTTAGAAAAGCTATTATCATGTAGGTTTTTCCTGGTATTCTGTAAAAGACAATTTTTAAAATCTTCATTTCGGGACCCAATTCATACTACTGTAAGATAATGTGTTTACAATGTGTAAATGTCTAATTTCTGTTGAATATTTCTAGCAATATTGGTGAAATAGCAGTATTTTAAAAGTTATCACACTTTACTTGTATAAAACAATGTTGGTAAAAACAACAATTTACCCTTATTTAATCAATCACAAGTGAGAACTCTGTGAAAAAATGGTGTACCAGAGTTACACAGATTCGTCCTGATGGTATTAAAAAAAAAATGTTGGTAAGAGGTTTAACATAAACTATCTCGACTAAATTTAGAAAAAAAGAGTTGAGTTTTAAACAATATTGACCTCCACAACGGTAAACGGCCCCTAATTTTCAACTTCTAAATTGTTGTTCTGTTTCCTAATGTTCCCATCTAGCATTAGGAAAAATACATTCAGCCCTTCTGCTAAAATAACCTGAGCAGAATATCTCCAGATATTCTGGAGTGGTGGCTTAAAACTCTAAACATGATTTTTATGTCCACAATGTCCACTCTAACTCTGTATTCCATAAGATGTTACAATAATCAACTTCAAGATGAAGAACCTGATTCTCTCCTTGGGATCCCAAATCACTACTTTGGGTTCTATCTGAATTTCCTAAAGGGGTTTTTAATTTGGCATCTTTAGAATTTTGCACTATTATTGCGAGCATATGCTCGCTTTGACTAGATATTTAATGGTCTAAAATAATCTTGTACACTGGTGTGACTAACACATGAAGTACTATTCACATAATCAGATTATGCTGCATACTTAGAAGTAGCTTCCATTTTGGGATTTATGTTCCGTTTAAATCAAGACAACAAAATTCCTCCACATTTTTTATTTGGCTAGATATAAGGCAAAATAATTTACTGGAAAATTCAATTAAAATCTATCTTTTCCACTTATATTTCAATTTCAAGGCCTTTCCTACTTAACTACTAATACAGCAGTCAACATTTAAAGTCCATGTGGAAATAACTCGGCATGTATGTATGCATCAGTGCACGCAGACACTGATTTGTATGCTGTCTGTGGGGTTTAATCCTCAGTGAGGTATCATCAGGGAAGGACAGCACTATTCCTCCAAGTAACGACAGAAGTCACAGTGGTCAAATTTCCTCAGACATAAATTGCAATTAGTGGCCAGAAAATAATTTTTTTTCTGCCTCGAGTCAGAAAAAAATCACAAGGATGGTGATTACAGAAGTAACATAACATAGGTAGATAGCAGCCTAAAACTCAGGAGGCCTGTATTCAGAGGGTCACAACTCTGAGAGCTACTTGCTGTACAGACCAACAAAAACCCCAGC